CTGTGGTATTAACACTTTGGGGGCATTAGAAAAAGTCTTAAAACATTCCTTGGGGAGGCAATCCTATATAATAAAAGCACAGCAACCAAAATGGCAGAACGACCAGAATGACCAGAGACCAGAACCATGGCCCCTGCCCAGCTATCCCCGCCCCTCAGCAGGGACCCCACTCCAATCCAAGGCCACCATCAGAGCAGGCTGGCCAATCCCCACCCATGCACTGAGCTTCTGTTCTATATAATATCCTATATAATAAAAGGGTAATATGCAAATTGACCCTAATGGCAGAATGACCAGAATGCCCGCTTGACCAGTCACTCTGAGGCAACCCGCAGCAGAGGTGGAGCTGGTGAGTGGGCAGGAACAGCCAACCTCTCCATCCCTTCCCCCAGCCATCAGGCTCCAATTGCCCAATGGTGAATGGGGAACCGGGGTGGGTGGCAGTAAAAAAATTGAGGTTAAGTAAGATGGATTCAGCTCCTCTACTTCATTTTTCTTTATTGACCCTTGAATAGGGGTTAAACATTGATCCCCGTCATGCAGCTGAAAATCCTGGTATAACTTCTGACTCCCCCAAAACTTAACTTCCCTTGGTATCCAAGGGGAATTTGTTCTAAGACCCCTCACAAATGCCAAAATCTATGGATGCTCAAATACCTTATATAAAATAATGAAGATCTATGCATACAGTTGGTCCTCCACATTTGCAGACTCCTACCCACAGATCAGAAACAACAAAGATTTTTACTGAGGGGGAAAAAAGACACCCACAACCCTAGCTTGTTTGGGTCAGTGGATAGACATCGGCCCATGGACTGACAGTTTCCAGGTTCAGTTCCAGTCCTGGGCATGTACCTTGGTTTGCAGGCTCGATCCCAACTGTGTTCAGGGCTCATGTGGGAGACAACCAATCAATGTGTCTCTCTCACATCCATGTTTCTTTCTCTCTCTCTCTATAATATCCTCAGGTGAGGATCAACAATAACAAAATAAAACAACACTCACAAATCTGCATATAAGAAAACCCACCACTTCTAACTCCTGTTGTTCAAGGATTAACTGTATTTAGGATTCTGATCACAAGTGACAAAAACACAACTTGAATTACCTTTTAAATTTTTTTAAAAAATATATTTTATTAATTTTTTACAGAGAGGAAGGGAGATAGCTAGAAATGTCGATGGATGAGAGAAACATCGACCAGCTGCCTCTTGCACACCCCTGGGGGTGTGCCCGCAACCAATGTACATGCCCTTGACTGGAATCGAACCTAGGATCTTTCAGTCCGCAGACCGACGCTCTACCACTGAGCCAAACCGGTTTTGGCACTTGAATTACTTTAAATGAAATATGGAAATTTACCAGTTTCCATAATCAAGTCAGAATGGGAGAGGTAGATTGGACCTTGGGGATGACTGTATCCAGAGATATAAACACTGCTGGGACTTTATCAGACACTAGTGAAAAGGTGTCAGGCAGACATTACCCCATCCCCCGCAAAAAAGACAAGATGGTCTGCAAGAAAATAGACATGAATTAATTTTAGACTACTAATATGAATATCAGAAGTCAAAATCAGTGGATAAGACACAGAATTAAAAATCTTGGGTTAGTGTTCAAAATCATGTAGGAAATTAACTTCAAAATGCATCCAACAAAAAAGAGCCTGGCCAGTGTGGCTCTGTAGTTGAGCATTGACCTATGAACCAGAAGGTCACGAAGGTCACGTTTCATTTCCGGTCAGAGCACATGACTGGTTTTCGGGCTCAATCCCCAGTAGGGGTCATGCAGTAGGCAGCCAATCAATGATTCTCATCATTGATGTTTCTATCTCCCTTCCTTTCTGAAATAAATATTTTTTAAAAGATAGATTCATGTATGTATGTATGTTTGTATGTACTGATGGACAGATGTGATAAATCAAGCACAATAAGATTTTTTAATGTATTTTATTGATTTTTTACAGAGAGGAAGGGAGAGAGATAGAGAGCTAGCAACGTCGATGAGAGAGAAACATCAACCAGCTCCCTCTTGCACACCCCCCACCGGGGATGCACCCGCAACCAAGGTACATGCCCTTGACCGGAATTGAACCCGGGACCTTTTAGTCCGCAGGCCAACGTTCTACCACTGAGCCAAACCGGTTTCGACAAGCACAATAAGGTATTAATGGTAGAATCTTGGTAGTAAATATATGTCTTCATTGAAAATTTTTCTGTATGTTTGATATTCTTCATAACAAAATGTTGGGGGTGGGAAGGGGGTTACAGGCAGAACAGCTGAAGAACAGTTTCATGGCTATAGTGATTAGTCCCTTGTCAGCAGAATTCTAGTCCTAAACCAAAAGTATAGAAAACACTTCTTGCACTCCAAGGAAAGGGAGGACTGGCAAAAGCTATTCATTCATCCATAACATATAACAAATATTTCTTGAGTTCTCATTTGGTAGCATCCACTGTATTAAAAGCAAGGTGTTAAATCAGGTATGACCTGCAGAGTGAGAGCATAAGGTTAAAAGGTGATCATTCTGGCTTGGGAATTCGTATAGAATAACTAAAGGTAAAAATGGTTACCCCATTGACTTAACCTGCTTCAAATTGATTTTATTAATGCACTAAGCATCATTTTACATGGAGAAATAAAGTTGATTTCTCACTTGGACAACTGAGTAGATGATGGGAAATGCACACAGAAAATGCACACAGAACAAGTATGTGGTATATGATAACTTTTAAATTTGCTTTTAGAATCTTGACATTTATGTGTTACATCTCAATAGAGATGTCCAATGGATTCAGAATTCTAGAAAAAAGCCTGAACCTTGTGAGAGATTGAGTCATCATAACAGTGTTATAGTCAAAACCTTGAGTAAAATCATCCAAAGAGTATCGTGAGATTATTCTTTCATTCTTTTATCCATTCACCAAGCTCTCATTGTGTTTCTAGAACTAAGAATAAAAAAATAACAGTATTTTCCAGGAATTCATAACTTCTTTTTCTTTTTTAATCTTCACCTGAGGATATGTTTTTATTGATTTTTAGAGAGAGACGAAGAGAGAGAAACATCAGTCTCTTACTGAGAGAATTTGATATCCTTGGTCCTTAAACCCTCATCTCTAATTCCAATTTTCTCTTTAGGCTTCAAGTCAAACTAACTAAAGAATAACAGCTAGTTTAAAACTAAAAATTCTATTGACAGCAAAACACAGGCACTACTATCCGCCTTAGAGATGATACATTGTAGGTTCTACTAGCTTGTGAGGACTGTAATTGTTTTGACTAGGAGAAACTGAGATGTTCTAAATCACAGCCCCTGAAGAGCGAGACAGAACTGTTGGTTTGTTATGGTTGCTGCTCATGTTCCTTAATTGCCTTTTGGGAGTTTTGGATTAATATCCAGGTGGCTATTTCCATCGATTATTTTAGTTAGGCATCATTTAACTCCAGGAGCCTCTGCATGCTGTTTACACCTGGACTTTCCAGAATGCTGCTCATGGCCGATTTACAGGAACAGGCATTTTTTTATATGGACCTAGAGCTGGCCTCACTTTACCTCCTCCCACCCCTCTGCTTATAGCTAATGTAAATTTTTGATGTACAAAAATGCCTGCGAAACTACATGCTATACATGCTGTATTTTCTACCTAACCATACTTCTGGTGATTTTAGACTCCATGTCCCAAGACTGATCTTTTTGGCTTGCATTCAGGCTCAATGAAACCTTACTTAAAAATACACTTCACTGTGGAAGTCAATATTTTTGTTTAACATTTTAATCTTTTGAGTCTATTTTCTCATATCCCAAAAATGGCAAAATTTTTTTCAAGGCTATTGTTAATGGTTAATTATAAATGCATGGTGCTCCACACTCTATGTGTACTATTAATGCAACCCACAACTTCAGATACACACAACAAACTATATCTAATATTAACTTCTTTTCCTGAGCACTCAGTCTACGAGTTGTTATCCAGGTTACACGCGCTGGCTTGCTCTGCTATTATTTGCTTTAGAATCTCTCAGAGTCACGGGCTGGCTCAAAGTAACCGTAGTAACTGCTTCCTTCCCTATATATTGAAAGAAACACATTTTCCAAGAATTCTTAAAAAAAAAAAAAAAAAAAAGTTCGGCTGTAACCATTTTTGGCTCAATGGATAGAGCGTTGGCTTGGGGACTGAAAGGTCCCAGTTCGATTCCGGTCAAGGGCATGTACCTTGGTGGCGGGCACATCCCCAGTAGGGGGTGTGCAAGAGGCAGCTGGTCGATGACTCTCTCTCATTGATGTTTCTAACTCTGTATCTCTCTCCCTTCCTCTCTGTACAAAATCAATAAAATGTATTTTAAAAAAATAGTTCGGCTTGGTTTAGGAGTACCACTAGAAAGTAAGTTTCGTCACACACACAAAAAAAAGTCCAACACTACCCCGGCTGCCTGCCGGTCTCTGGAAAACAGGGGAGCGAGTCCATAACCTACATCAAGAAACAAGAGCTGAAACCAGAGCTTTCAACTTTCCCGCCGGCTCCTACACGGCCAACCGCACCGACGCTCCGTCTTGCTCTGCGCCACTTCCGTTCGCGCACGTTAAGGACGTCAGAGCGTCAGCTCTCGCGGTACCAACTGTTGCTGCGGCACTTTAACGAAGATCTCGCGAAGTTTGTTCAGCAGATCCAAGTTAGCCTCTCCCCCTCCCCCACCGCACCCTCGAAACTGCTCTTCCTTTCCCTCTGTCTCAGTTACAACACTCCCCCCTCCCTCCGCTCGCGTCCCTCCTCCCGCTTCCGATTTCAAGCCGGAACCGGAAGTCTGGTGGGCGGGGCTCGGCGGCGGAAAGCGCAGCGGAGGAGCCGGAGCGGGGACTCGGCGGTGGCCGCGGCCCCTGTCCCTTCCACGGGTCGCCGTGGCTCCAGGCTGAAGGCCGGTCCGGAGGCGGGTGGGCGCGGGTCTCCCCCGGAGTATCCGGGCGGCAGGCTGCCCGGACCCCCCGGGCTCCGCGAGAGAACATGTCTACAGCCTCCGCGGCTTCCTCCTCCTCCTCGTCTTCGGCCAGTGACATGATCGAAGCCCCCTCGCAAGTCCTCAACTTTGAAGAAATCGACTATAAAGAGATCGAGGTGGAAGAGGTGAGCGAGGCCCGGCTAGGAGGTGCGGGCCCCGGCCGCTCCCGCCTCTGCCTCTAGTTCCCGACTCTCAGGGCGCCCCTCGGTCCCTCTCTGCTTTGCGGGGCCCCGCGGGGTTCGCCCCGGAGACCTCATCCCCCCACAGAGCCCGGGCGTGGAGGGAACTCGGAGCGTACAGCTGCCCCGACGTGGTTAGTTCTCTCTTTGCCTTCCTTAGGCATTCTTGAGTTGGGTTTGTACTCAGGTGCCGGCTTTGAGCCATCGCAGAGGGGAAGGTGGTGAACTGGAGAGACAGTCCGTCCGTAAAGCAGTAAACCCATCCCAGACACCGGCGCCGTCCTGGGTGTCATGTCACTGAGACGTGGCGCTCTTCGGGGCCCAGGATTGCTCACCTCGCCCTGCCCGGCACGTCATGGGTGCTCGGTAAATTCTCGACAAAATTAATGCATCTTCCTGTAGAACAAAGTGTTTCGCCGAGTGTGGGATGGTTTCTTTCGCCGATTCCTTAGGGCAGTAGCCTAGAATATTCAGTGTTCTGCCTTCAGTTGAATTACTTTAGATGAATGTCAACATGAGTGATGCAGGCTGGTTGCGATGAAAAGCTATTCCAAGTAGCGTATTCTGAAGAGATAAGTAATGACTTCCGTGACAACTAGAATATAAGCACCAAGCTCAGAAATCCCTGTTAGAAAATCTGAATGCATTCTCTATGCTGCCGTAATTTAAGTTTAGAGCAAGGTTAATAGCGTGCCTTTAGTACATGGCTAATTTTCACATTCGCAGAGGAGTAGATTGATACTAAGGACCATAACATTTGGAAAAGTAAAAACTATATAGATTTTAAAGACTCACTTTGTAAACTGTTAAACTTTGGTTGAAAATACTATCAAATATTATTTGTGCATCATTTTTTAAAATTAAGTACTTTGCATTACGTATGCCATGAAGAACCCTGTATGTCCTATATTATAGATTCTCAGTTATCACTACTTTCAAAGTCCAAAATTATTTTTATGTAGTGGAACACTAGAAATAGTAAGATAATTATCATTTAACAAGTGTTTTCCTATGCATGTTTTGGAAAAATAATGTATTAATTATATTTTTTATTTCATAAAGTAACCTTAGAGATCACTGAGATTTTACAAGGGAGTATAAGTGGAATGAGAAAGGCCTTTGGAGTTAGAGGAAGGTCCAAATATATCAGCCATACCACTTAGCTGTGTGGTTCAGAGCAAGTTTCCTATCCCCTTTGAGCTTGTTTTCTAACTATAAAGTAGGGGTAATTTCTATTTCATTTATTTGTATAACAGATCCTACTAGGCAATATGCAAAACACCAAACACAGTGTGTGACACATATTACTAGGAAACTGAATTCCAGAGAGGAAGTGACCTGCTTTAAGGTCACATGGCTAAAAAAGGACCTGTATTTTGAAAAGAGGGGGGAATTTTTTTGTGTGTATGTGTTTTTTTTTGTGTGTGTGTGTGTTTTTTTTCTATTGACACTATGATAAATTCCTTTTTCAGAAAGTTGATCCAGCATTCATGGCTAGCATTCTTTCTTTTTTAAGAATAAAAATTCAGTGAGTCAGTATAAAAGAATTGCAGTTTTTAAATAAACATTTACGTCTACTCTGGTGAACTGTCACACTTGTAGACTACAAATTGTTATATAATAATAACTTGTACTTCATGGTCAACCAAATGCTTTCACAGACTTACATCATTTGATCCTTACAACTTTAGTTTTTGCACACTACTTTCTAAAGCATTTTACATTCTTGTTACTTAGAGGAATGAAAGTTACTAAGGAGACATTTTGCTGCTCTTCCCCCAATGCCATTTAACTTCTGATTAAATTTTTATGTTTCCAAAGACCCTTCTTTGAGTTTAGATAATGTTTCAACCTTTATTTGGTATATTTAGATATTTCTGAGATTAAATTTTTGTTTTTAAATGAAAATTTCTAATATTAGGCAGTTTTTTAGTTTTATAGTTCTTTTAAATATCCAGTTTATTTGCATTTTAAGGTTGACTTTCAGCCTTTCTGATGTTGAAGCCATTACATAATTTCTATCATATATTCTTCATATGCACACATTGAAACAGTGTTATGTGATTCAAGATGTACAATGGGCTCTCAATAATTATTTCTTAATTTCGATTCTGCTTCCAAGTTAAAATCATGAATAAGAGAACACAGAAAAATGACCAAAAACAAAAAGTATTTTATATGTACATGTAAATTACCTATAAATAAAAGAAAATTATAATCTGTATTTCTCACATAACAATGTAATTGAATCAGAATTATACCAATTCAATTAGAAACTGTTAGAAAAACATTCCAACTACAAGTCAAATAAATATGCAATCATTTAATAGGTGTACATGTTCCTGATATTGTGATTCAGTAATATCAGTGTGGCATATCCTAAATTCAATTCTGATATCAAATTATGTAATGTTTTAACCTTAGAAATTTACATAGGTACTTCTTTAAAAAAGAAATTTAGGTTTTATAATCTGGAACTAAGTGTAGAGAATAAATTGTGAGGTATCTACTTTAAAAACTAGGTTCAGCTGGGACTGGTTTGGCTCAGTGGATAGAGCATCGGCCTGCGGACTAAAAGGTCCCGGGTTCGATTCCGGTCAAGGGCATGTACCTTGTTGCGGGCACATCCCCAGTAGGGGGTGTGCAAGAGGCAGCTGATCGATGATTCTCATGGATGTTTCTAACTCTCCCTCTCTCTTCCTCTCTGTGAAAAATCAATAAAATATATTAAAAACAAAACAAAACAAAAACCTAGGTTCAAAAAGTGGTTAAAGAGAGTGTGGTATGGTGACAAGTGTACTGAGCTGGGTATTTAAAAATTTTAGATGTTATACTGATTCTGCCATAATGTAATTCAGTAAATTTTAACATCTTCTGGGCCTCTCATCTCTCATATGAAATGAGAGATTGGATAAGATCATTTAAGTTCTCTTTCCATTCTAAAATGAACACACATTTATTGTTTCCAGTATTTATGCTTTAAGGACAGTGATAATTATCTCCCATGGAATGTAGTTGGGCCAACTAATTCAAATGAGACAGGGCAAGTGATATCCCCTTTTTAAGATAATGACAAGTGATCATTGAGTTCATTGAGTTTGATTTGTCAGAAGCCTTACGCCTAAAATGGTAGAATTAGGAATTGAATTTGAGATTTCCTGAGTCAGTTGCTCTTACCATTGGACGTTTCTTTAGTTCTTTCTAAAGTACTCTATAACCAAACCTTATTTTTTGAATGAGGAAAAAAATACTGATTTCCTTTATAGTAATTGGTCCTGAGCACTTAATGAACATTCTTCTCCCTGCACAGTACTGCTAAGATACTGAGAAAAATGAATAGAAGGATCTTAGGATTCTCTCCTTTGAAATTGTGACTTGTGAGACAATAATAAACACAGAACAGTTAATAATTACATTTTTAGGACCACAAATTTAAAACTATGGCTATAACATAAATTGAGCACTTAAGCTATAATTCTAAAGTAAGTTTAACCACACAAGGCTTCATTGAGTGGAAAAGAGTTTGAAACTAGATTCTAAATAAAGTAAGCATTGAGAAAAGCAGTAAGATGAATTTTTGCAGCTGTTTCTCTGCCTGGAATGAATGCTCTTCTCCCCAGAAATTCAGGGTTGGCTCCTTCTCACCATTTAAGTCCCACCTCAAATGTTACTTTCTTAAAAAGCTTTTCTGAGCAACCTAGATCTTTGTTACTTCTATTTATCCTTTGGGTGCTTACCAGTAACCAAAATTGTGTATCCCTCACCAAAATGTAAGGTGCCTTATTCATACCTGTAATTCTAGTGCCTAGTACCTAGAAGATTTTCTGTAAATGTTAGTTAAATGAATAAAGTTATTACAGCATACCCAGTGACCATTGGTTCTGTTATCTGTGATAAAACCAGTGGTTAAGATTAGTTAGTGATTTGTCTAAGGCAGCATTTTTACTAGAAATGAAATTTGATTTCTTTTTGCAAATGTAGATTCCATAACACTCCATTATACCTAGCAAATACTTTTTGTTTATCAGGGGTCAGGTGCTGTGAATAAGCCAGGTATTGGTGCCTTTGATAAAATGCTAAGTAGACCATATGTGGTATAGTTGCTTTTTAAAAGGAAGACTCACAGTGTTGACCTCAGTTATAGCATACTAATGGCTGGATGCACAGATTCATGCACATTGAAAGGAAATTAATTAGAAGAAATATTTTAATAGCACTATTCGCCCTTTATAATAGAAGTGTCAACCAAATTCACTGTCAACAATGACAGATCAAAACACATATGTGTGATTGCGCCAGTGAGCACTTTTTATATATCGTGCATGTGCAGGTCAACTTAGCCTTTTATATATAGAATAAACTTGCTTAATTAGACCTGCTTTTCTTTTTCTTTTTTTTATATATTTTATTGATTTTTTACAGAGAGGAAGAGAGAGGAATAGAGAGTTAGAAACATCGATGAGAGAGAATCATCGATCAGCTGCCTCTTGCACACTCCCTACCGGGGATGTGCCCTCAACCAAGGTACATGCCCTTGACCGGAATGGACCTTTCAGTCCTCAGGCTGATGCTCTATTCACTGTGCCAAACTGTTTTCGGCTACACCTGCTTTCTGAGGTAGCTAAACTTTTTCCAACCCAGTGAAACACCCCAACTTCTCTTTCAGGTAATTGTTAGCAACACAGCAGTAAATATCAACACAAAGCAGATTATTATTGTAGATCACTCGGGGAGAACAAAGGGTAAAAATATTTAACTGCAGCAGTGTTTGACTATATTCTGCACAGTGAGAAAATCTGAAGTCATTTTTAAGGTCCACCATTTCTTACTTCTTTTCAGTTGGGTCAAGTTTCTAAACTTTCTAAAGCTCTGTTTTCTGGTTAATGAAAAGAAAATAGGATTCTACCTATTCCAGAACTTCTATGGGGATCAAATGAGATGAGGCA